ATTGTATTCTCTTTTGAAGAGGCGTGTTTCAGAACAAACACTGGTTTTGCAAGTGTACTGTATACGTTTCATGATTACTCTCAAATTGTTATCCTTTGATCCATAAATAAAAATAAAAATCATACACAACTCGTTTCAAAATCCAATAATTTAGACAAATTGAAATTGCAAGAAAAGAGCTTGATGATGATATTAGTATTTGGGTGGAAATATGCGTGAATGTGGAGAAATTACAGCCTCCTGTATGTACTTGTGAGAGCTGTTGGGGTCAGGAACCCAACGAATCTCGCTCATGTTTGGTGTCTCAACATATGCCATGGTGAACTCTCCAACCTTTTCTATTTTGCCTCTCTTGCCCGCCCGCAGCAGAAGACTGTTCCTGCTGTAAGAGAAGATCCCATTGCTCAAGTGTATGATGTCACCAGGCTCGAATGCATCGCACTCCTCCCCCCACAGCTGAAAGTGGACCGCCGCCGTCTCGTCGGCCACGAGTGCCAGGCATGTCTTGTTTTGGCCTTGTGATGAGGATGTGTTCATGGAGGCTTTGTCCAAAAGTATGAACCTTGTGTTTATGTTGTTCTGTGCTGCTGGCACTATGTCTTTGAGTGCCACCATCTCTCTGTATGTATCTTTGCTTTGTTTCAGCCAAAGAAAAAGTCCATTCAATCAATTGGCCCAACAATTTATTCAAAACAGGTATTTGATTGAATTGAAAATCGCAGAGAGAGAGTACCTCACTAATGCTTTCGATTGATGAGTTGAGTTGTGTTGCAAGAAGGGAAGCGGAGGATAAATCCGCGACTTTAAACGACATGCGTTTTATGGTGCCTCCAGGGAAAAGTCTAAAATACCCACCACCACCACGACGATACTTTTTTTTATTTGTTTATGTCGAGCCGGATTTGCTCAAAATAGCCACCGGGCACTGGAATGATCGTATCGTTGTTCATGAAAAGCAAGAGTCAATTCCTCCTAACCCTAACCCTAAAATCTCATCGATGGAGCTCGCTCAGATGTTCAGATTCAATCGGACCTTCGCTCCAACCACACCCGATATCCAGCCCCATCACCAAGAGAGGCCGATATCCATAATGGCTTCGATTCAAGTCGATTCTCCGACCGGTAATCTTCGGTGTCGGGATCTCAATTCTTCGTTGAGAATCGGGGTCTCAATTCTTTGTTGACAATCGGTTCTCGCTTTCGGAAAAAGATTTCGCTTATGCAAGAGAGTTTTCTTACGAATCTTTACCTTCTCGATCTTCATCTGCAGGTAATATTATGCTTCCTTTTATTTAGTTATGCACCACTTGTTTCATTTTGTGAAGCGGATTAATTATCATCTGTGATGGATTATCTCAATTGATATGAGTTCTACTTTCAGAAAAGGAATAAATGGTTACGTCCATTGGTTTTTTGGATATGATATTAGCAATATAATCTTCCTTGGGTTTAATTTTATGCACAAAAAAAAAAAAAGAAAAAAAAAATGAGTTTGCATCAGTATTCAGTGGGAAATACCTTCTATGACTGTTCAGGTATTCAATTTTCTGTGAGTATTTTTGACTGCCTTGCATCTGTAATTACTTCTTTGTCTGCTGGTAAAATGCAATAAAGCTTGCTTGCTCATTTCAGAGTTACACAGTGTATGCCTTCTATTTCAGTTTAACTCGTTTACTTTCATTTCAGTTAGCTTCTTTTAATTGTTGTGTTGTGATTCTTGCTTCATTTGATACCTCTTATTTTGCTATGGCTGATCTCGTGGACTCATACCTGAATGTTTGTAAAGAGCAGTGGTTGCCCCTACAAATTTTCCTTTGGTGTTATTTAGGTTTCTGTCACATAGCTAGCACCAACTTATAGAATTTCATTGCCATGAAATACAGTACATCTAGGCCTAAATTTCAAGAACTTATATTTTTATTGCCATCCACCCTCTTTTTCAGGGATAATCTTGTAGTATATTTGGGAATAGAGTTTTTAGTAGGAGAGGTGAATAGTGAATATCCATGCTAAAATTGTTGAACGTATCTGCCTTATTTGATTATTTAGAATATGAGAAATTTGGCTATAAGAAGTTAGTTTTAATTTGATTATAGCAGTCTCAAGTAAGAGAACCGAGGCTTGCTTGACATCTCAAGGAAAGAGGGCCTGGAATGTTGAGCCTTTTGATTTATCAAGAATCAATCTAGTAAATATGATTCATGAGTTTAGGAATACTTAAGGTTGAAAGAGTGAATTGTTTTTACCTGCTTGAAATGTATTGATTCTGTGTAGCCTCTCTCAACTTTTGTCAGGTTTCTTTGTCTTTATGATTTGTGCATTTTAAAGACCTCATACAATCAAGCATTTGAAATTAGGCTGGACTTAAATTTACCAGCTCCAATGAATCTGTCCTATGCATCTTTTTCGGGCACCACTATTAATACCAAGCAACTGGCCTAGAAATATTAAAAGGAAGTCTTTTTCTGATGCTAAGGCCCCGGTAATGCTGCAATACATGCATGTCAAGTGATGACTTAACAGTCTACCAACCTTTCTTTGCTGGAAATTGGGCTCTAGTCCATTGCTTTGCACATTTTTTTTTATGTTTTTAATACTATTGGGTTCTACTAGAAGCGCTCTCAAGAACTTTTTCATAGTCCAATAGAATTTTCAAAATAGTAAGAATAGTTATATAAATTGTACAAATATGCGACAGTGAACTTGATTAGTTTTTCTTTCTATAATGCGATGCATGCATTTGTACAGTTTAGATTGGTAGATTAGGAATTGCACTGCAATTGATTGGTTTTTATGTTTAAATGATGCCACTTCAGCAATTGATCTGCAGTCAGTATATTTTTACAAATGTAATTTATGTTTTGGCCCGAAAAAATTAAAATTTTAGTTCCGCCACTGCTTGGGAATGATGCGTCCTCACGAACGAGCATATAGCGAACTTCTCAGATAGTTCTGCAGTTCTTCTTGATGTCCAGCCCTGGATGCAATGGAGCTGCGGTTCCAGTTACGGTACATTTAGTTGTACTTGTTTTATCTGTTTCCTCTGTATCTTTTGCTGCTATGCTTTTGTGTATCTGCATTCATTTGGTTGTTGATGAGAAGGCTTGGGATCTTGAAATGATAAATGATGATGATGAAGAAAGCGACTTGGGTGAATGATATGATAACTTTTAGGTAGTTGGAAGATGAGAGGATAAAATGAGAATGAAAAAAACGACTGCGATGAAGATTATGTGGGTTCGATTCTGATTGGGGAGATGTTATTTGGTTTTTTTTTCTTCCTTGAGTTGCTTTTTCACTTCATCAAATCATCCGATGCATGACAATGGAATCATACTGGAAAAAAAGAAAAAAAAAGTTAGCCCTTAACAACTACTTGGCTCCATTCGATTGTATGGAACGTGACATTAATAAGTAAAAGTTCCAGTATTTTGACTCAATATGGGCTCAAGTTCGCATGATTAATGGGTCATCGGCAGTCTCGTTCTACCCCATATATGAGAAAATTGGGCCCGCCTTGAAGTTATAGGGCCTACTCTACCCCATAGCTTTCAAGTGATTGAGCCGAATACTAGGCCCGTTTTCAAGTGATTGGGCCGACTTCTGGCTCTGCTTTTATATTATTGGGGTGAATTGCTGGACTTTGTCACGTTATTGGGTGGAATTTTGGGCTTGTTTCACTTTAATTGGGCCAACTTTTGTGCTTGTATCACGCTATTGGGCCAACTTAGGTTCTGTTTTACGTTATTGGGCCGACTTTTGGGCTGTATCATGTCATTGAGCCAACTTTTGGGCATGTTAACGTTTTTGGGCCTTTTTTTGGGCCATTTTCATGTTTCTGGGCCGTCTTTGGGCCTTTAAACGTTATTGGGCCCACTTTTGGGCCTGTATCATGTTATTGGACCAACTATTGGGCCTAGTTTTGGGCCCATTTTCAAGTTACTGGGCCAACTTTTGGGCCTTTTTAACGTTATTGGGCCGACTTTTGGACCTGTTTCATCTTATTGGGCCAAATTTTGGGCCTGTTTCACCTTATTGGGCCGAATTTTGGGCCCGGTTTCACTTTACTAGGCCGACTTTTGGGCCTGTATCATGTTATTGGGCCTATTTTAAATTATTGGGCTGACCTTTGGGCCTGTGTCATGTTATTGGACCAGCTTTTGGGCCTGTTAAACGTTATTGGGCCTAGTTTTGGGCCCATTTTCATGTTACTGGGCCAACTTTTGGGCGTTCTAAACTTTATTGGGCCGACTTTTGGGCCTGTCTCATCTTATTGGGCCAAATTAGGGGCCTGTTTCACCTTATTGGGCCAAATTTTGGGTCCGGTTTCACGTTACTGGGCTGACTTTTGGGCCTGTACCATGTTATTGGGCTAACTTTTGGGCCTGTGTCTTATTGGACCAACTTTGGGCCTGTTAACGTCATTGGGCCTAGTTTTAGGCCCATTATTGGGCCTAGTTTTAGGCCCATTATTGGGCCAACTTTTGGCCTCTTACGTTTGTGGGCCTAATTTGGGCCCACGTTTTAGGCGTCTTTCGTGTTATTAGGGCTAATGTTGAGCCCGTTTCATGTTATTGGGTGTACTTTTAGACCTGTTACACGTTATTGAGCGGACTTTAGGAATGTTCCATGTCATTGGGCGACTTTTGGGGCTCTTTCAAGTTGGTGGACTACCTTTTCGGCTGACTTTCACATTTTGGGCCGAATTGTGGGCACTTTCACATTTAATTGGGCAGACATTTGGACTAGTTTCAAGTTATTGGGCCTACTTCTTGGTCTGGTTTAGGGCTGGGAGGCTATAATGAAGAGTTTAAAGTGAGGAGGCTATTTGAGGTGATCAATCTCACTATCAACAAATATACAGAAATCCTTAAAGATTTTAAATGTTTAGAAAGTAAGATTGACCTCCTCAAATAGCCTCCTCACTTTAAACTCCTCATTGTAGACTCTCCTGGTCTGGGGATATCTATGGCTCGACCAAACCTGAAGCATGCGCAGCATTTCTCCAATTATAATCTTTTGGATATTTTATCCAGTTTTATCAATTAAAATACGATGCACCCAAATCCAATAGCATTTTAAATAAATAAAATAAATGAAACGATTCAGTAAATCATTTAAAAAGAATGCAACAGCTGGGGTGATCGATCACTGCTGAACATTGATTCGTATGGTTCGTTATTCGCCTTTTTATGCCTGGTGACAAGTTGGTCTTCTGTAAGTAGATTTATGGGCCAAAAATATCCAATTCTGAAGGCCAGAGAGATTCAAGAAACCAGAAGCAAATATAAACTGCAGTCCTAAACCTTAAAGTTACAAAAACGAAACACATAGGGCATGTCCACTATCCACGTTTATTATGTTTTCCCAGGATTTCTAATTAAACATATAATTATAACTTCTATACACCATTATTAGGATGGAAATTTCTAGATGCAAATGATTAAACAACCCTTATATTTTGAGGTTGCCTAACTCATAATCAGAGAAACAACCACCTTTTATTCTGTGTAGCTAGCTACCTACATTTATCCAATTCCCATAGGAGAAAAAGAAAAGAGAGAAGAAAAACAGAAAGTTTACATTTGCAATAGTCCAGTTAAAACATTGAAATAGCATTTTACTTCTTATTGTCACCTCCATCTAAAGAAACACAAGCAATGAACTTCCATCAACAGAACTCTAATTTGCACTAAAATCATATCCAACCTAGTAACTGTTATTGGAAACATGAATCTTCTACATGGTTTGGTCATTGTATCTATACATGTGTGTGTAATTTACCGTATGCTGTGAAGATTTAACATATGGAAAGTACAGATAACAAATAATACATATACAGCAGCACGACAAAATTATGTGACAACGGAAAAATAAACAAAACATCAGGAAGGAAAAATAACAACAAACAATAAATTCCAAAAATAAATAAAACCCAAAGTCATCAAACCCTATAAATAGTGGCTAATGTAAGTTGAAAAAAGGTAACCCCAAAGGCAAGATTTTCACCTTTTTTGTGACAACCATACTAGAAACTAGGGGTGGCATTTTAAACCGAAAAAACGAAAAACCGCAAAAACCAACCGACAATTTACCGCAATGAAACCACAATCGCGGTAAACCGAACCGCATTTGCGGTATTAAGAACCGAACCGCATTTGCGGTTGCGGTTGCGGTATTTGATTTTCAAAACTTGCGGTTACC